AATAATACATAGTGTTATATTAAAATGGATAAGGCAGCAACTGCAGCAGCAGCAGCAAGTGCAGCAGCAGCAGCAACTGCAGCAGCAGCCAGCAGCAAACTGCAGCAGCAGCAGCAACTGCTGCAGCAGCAGCAACTGCAGCTCCCTTTGATGTTAATCCTGCATATACAATGCATATGCAGTACTAATCACATTCCTGCATTTCCCATAAATATGCTAAATTCCTTTTGATATGCAAATTCCTTTGTCAATGCGCCCAGCTTATATATGCTCCAAGCTCGTGTGCTGTTTCATTCAGACTCTGTCGCCTCGACGGACCTGGTTTTCACCTGAGGACGGCTGCTTGCGTTGTGGCCGAAACGTCGTGAGAATTGTTTTATTATGTTTTATTTTTATTATTATTACTTCCCTTCTACGTGACTTTACCGAAAGAACCAAGAAGTTGATGGCTAAGTGTATGGAATTGATGTGGTTGAGGAATTGGTTCAGAGCCGGTCGGCCATGTGGCCAGATGACAAACGTGTCATCCACGTATCTCTTCCACAAGCACGGGCGTAGAGTGGATGCCTGGATGGCGTCTGTCTCAAAATTTTCCATGAAAACATCGGCTACAACCGGAGATAAGGGATAACCCATTGAGGTGCCTTCAGTTTGTTTGTAGAATGTCCCATTCCAGGTGAAGTATGTATTGGTGAGGCAGTGTCTCACCAGTGCCTACCTTATCACAGACCAATTTAGACCTTATTGGTCACCCCGTGCCGTCGTAAATCTGAACGTTCATCCTACAAAGTCCCATCACAAGGGAGAAAACACAATCAAAATATATAAAAAATGTGCCACTATTGAAACGGCTGTATCACGCCGTATGGACCTGAAAACTCAATTTCCTCCTGTACAAGAATACGGGGTGAACCGTGTGGGTTGACAAGGTATGGTCACTTGCTGACCTACTCGCTAACCCCACTCACCTTAGCCGACCTCACCTACTCGCTAACCCACTCACCTTAGCCGACCTCACCTACTCGCTAACCCCACTCACCTGAACTTAGCCGACCTACTCACCTACTCGCTGACCCCACTCACCTGACCTTAGCCGACCTCCTCACCTACTCGCTGACCCCACTCACCTGACCTTAGCCGACCTCCTCACCTACTCGCTGACCCCACTCACCTGACCTTAGCTGACCTCACCTACTCGCTGACCCCACTCACCTGACCTTAGCTGACCTACTCGTTGACCCCACCCACTTGACCTTAGCTGACCTACTCGTTGACCCACCCACTTGACCTTAGCTGACCTACTCGTTGACCCCACTCACCTGACCTTCTCCCACTCTGCAATTGACTCAACGTGGAGTGCCTCCCGACGTAAGATGGCGGACGACGGCTTCACTCAACGAGTGGAGGGGTCGTTGTCCGAAACGTTGCCTGTTATATACCCCCCCCTCCCTCTTGTAAGGCTACACATACGGTGTTATTAATGAACGTGTTGTTGTTGTTGTCGTTGTTTGTGCACCACTGGCGATCGATCAGATGTTGACTTTTTCATTGGTTCTTTCGGTTAAGTCACGTCTAAAGATAAAATAATAAATTTTTAAAAAGCTATTATTTAATTTATTATATTTTATCTTTAGACGTGACTTAACCGAAAGAACCAAAGAATAATTCCTGCAGTCACGAAAGCTCCAAAATTAAGATTGTTGACTTTTTAAAATCCTTATATTAAGTTCGCTTGCTTGCTTACGACCGTGCAAATCTTTCGGTCGTTTTAACCCACTTCCCGTGATCCAATCGAGCTGACATTTTGCACACAGACTCGTTGTGCGAGACAATAAATGTTCGTGAAAATTTTTTCCAAAATTTTGCACTGTTTAGGGAAAATAAATTAAATATTTAATTACCAATTGCTTAATACTGGCAGACAATCATCTGACCCATAGGTGGCAGCCATCTCAAGCCAGAGGACGAGAGGACTCTAGCCGCCACGCATATAAAGGATTTAGAGTGAAAAACTTTGTTTTTACGGGTTATACTTATTACGGCGCCTTTTGGCATCATCTGGTCCAACCCATGTGAGACTAGGCTCTAAGAAAAGCTGTCTCGGGTGTGGACCAATCAACTTCAAGGACAATGCATACATTATCAGAGTTGTGTTTTTTGTTTGCATTATGAC